TCTGACAGTCTGATTAGACACAACAGGTAAAGGGAGGGAGAAAAAGATACAATTTACAAGTAGAATATTGGGATGAAAGTCCAGGATCATCTCTACTATATGTCTGCACATCTGGCTGTGGCCTCCTGGTGCTACCATAATATTTTGTTCTCCACTTCCTCACTTGTCAGCAGGGGTGGCCCGTCCATATAGGCGATCTAGGCGGTCACCTAGGGCGTCAAGTTAAATGGGGTGCCAAATGGTGGCGCAATATCATTGAGGGGTTTGGAGGTTGGGGTGCCGATTGCATGGTTCACCTAGGGCACCCTGGGACTAGCTGGCAGCTAGTCTAGGGCCACCCCTGCTTGTCAGTACTTGGGAGAGTAAGGATGTCATATCAGCAAGCAGCAAAACTGAAGGAAGCAACCTTTGGGGCAAAGGATTTCACATTTTGGTAAACCTAAACTTTTGAAGACTAGAAACAGACTTATTAGAAAGAGGAGGCTTAGTGTTCTAGGGAAACATCTAATTCTCATAGACTCATAGACTCATAGACTTATAGACTTTAAGGTCAGAAGGGACCATTATGATCATCTAGTCTGACCCCCTGCACAGTGCAGGCCACAGAATCTCAACCACCCCTCTTAGAATAATCTAGAATAATTCTAGTAACATCCTGCTGCCTTCCAGGGAGCCGTTTGCGTTGGGAGTTCAGAGAAAGCCAGACTGAAATAGCCATCTGTCCCAGCAGGATTTCCACTTGTCTAATGATCATTAAATAACATTTCATATTACTAATGATCTGCATGGGAAACAAAGGCTTGTCTCCTAACAAGCAGTTGCATCCTGGGTCTGTTTTCCCTTCTTTGTGTTAAACAGGCACAAAGCCACAATGATGCATTTTTGCAGCAGACGTCTCTTGACTACTGTGCTCAGTGTGAAAATGCCATTTGCATTTATGCAGGTGATAACTCATGGGACATGGACAGCCCTTATTGCCCGGTACATAAAAAGCTGGCTTTTTAATACCCGTCGGGAACATTTTTAATGATTTTCTTTTTTCTTTTTAAGTATACATTAGTGTTGGTGAAAGATGTCAGACTAAGGAGCCCAGTGAAGTCAGTGCGCTTTGGATCAGTCCCTGTAAATTGAAACCTTCTACCCACAGACCAGGTGTAGCCCAGCACCACAAAACTTCCCTTATGTAGCCTTTATAAAAGTATTCAATCTTGTTTGGAAGGGTCTGTGTCTAGGGCATGAGGGGAATATAGGAATAGCCATATCAGATCCATCTGGTCCAGTATCCATCTTTGAGAATGGCCAGCAGCGGATGATGCAGACCACAGTAGAAGGACTCTGCAGTGAACAGTGATAGTATAACCGTTCCATGGGAGAAGTTTCTTCCCGACTCCATCAGTTACTGGGTTTACTTATGCCATGAAGCATGAGCCTTTATATATCCCTTAACACAGTCTTTAGAATTCCATTGAATGAAATGTGAGTGTATTTCTAATCTTGTCTTGAATCCCACAAAGCTCTTGTGGCAATGAATGCCACAGGCCAGTCACGCCTGCATAAAAATATTTCATTCTATCATCGCTTTTAAATGCATTGCTTTCAATTTTACTAAACATCCCCTTGTTCCTGTATAAAAATAGGAGTGTCCGGTTTAATTTGCCTGTACTATTCATTCCTATGTCTGCCTCAAGAGGAGAGAAACAATCGGGAACCTAATAAACAACTGCCTCAGTCTTTCCACAAAGCAATCTCTCCTTGTTTCTTATCTTCACTGTACTGGAACTGCCGTTGCTCTCCAAATCCATTCACCCCTTGACCTCTCTTCTGTAACAACCCGAAGGTCAACCAATTATCATGGTTTGGTTTTGTGATGTGCATACCTGTTTACTACTGAGAACACCAATTTGTTTCACTCAGTCTATCCAACAATGGCCAAGTAATAATGATTTTTACTCACTATCCCCGTAGGGCAAATCTGAATCAGTGTTATAAGAGTGAAAGCTTCTCTGTGCCATGAGATCCCCGTCCCACAACTGGTATGTGTCATTTTGCAGCCTCGGCATGACGCACACTGACTTAGCAGACGCACAACTGCAGCCTTTGGGAAGGTGTTTTTTTTTTCTTCCCTGCTGTCCGATAGGACTCAGCTATTTATAGCAGATAAGATCCCCTTGGGATCCTGCAATCTCTTTGTTTCTAATGCCTGACAATCAGACAGGCATCTAAGTGCCATTAATGCTTCTGGCCCTGGGAGGAATACACAATAGACACATCTTTGTATATTGAACCCAGATGATTTCTGGCCCAAGGAGCCCACACTAAAAGTCTCGCCCATGGGGTGTAAATTAGGAAATGTGTTTCTCTGCACACATTGGTCAGTGGGGGTTGGATAGCCTGGGAAAATGTATTTTAAAGCTGCTGGAATCTTCTCTTAGGAAAGTCCCAAGAAGTCCAAAGGAAATGTTGTCATTATCTAAGAATCACTATAGTCCCAGGAGCAAATGGGCCCAGCAGAGGCTCAGCAGAGGAAAACGAAGATGCAGCCAACAGTCATGATGGTTTTTGCTTCACTTTAGCCCCGTCAGTCCTTGTTTGCCCCTGCTGAATCTGGGAGCAGTGTGAGAGGATAAGGACAACCAGCTGGTGGGTGGCATTTCTGGGAAACTAAGCAGGTCTCACTCACCTCCCATCATCTCCCATATTGGGCTTTGGGAGAGGAGAAATGTAATTATCCAAGCAGGATAACTACTGTCTCCCACAGGAAACAGACAGTGAAATAGGTTTAGGGCACTGACTCATATTCCATCAACAACGCTGTTAATGTATCTGAGCTCCTCTGTTTACTCTACAGGACCTCACCCTATTCTAAGATTTGCCAGACTAGCTGCAATTTTGCCATTTGAATCAATATGGGCAAACATGCTGCAAGGCCAGTGGGTGTCAATTAACTTTATCTGAGCCTCTGTTGCTGCAGGAAATCACAAACAGTGGCTGTGTAGTGCCTGGACTGTCCTGTGGCCTCTTCCTAGGCTAGCAGTTCTGTGCTCTTAGTTTTGTCTCACTGCCTTCAGGCCTGGGGACGTATTTCCTGCCAGTGAATCACTGAGGAGACACAAACCTCTCACCGTAATCTTATTCCACAGTGACACTGCTTCTCTTTCACGCCTCTTAATCAAGACATGGAGGCGGGAGGTGTGAATTGGAATTTGAATTAAGACCCAGTGTAACTCTGTTAAAGGCAGAACTTTATGGGTAACACAGGTCATGGACTGTCTCCTTGCCTGCCACAGTTACTGTACAGTAATGCTGACATGATAGAGACTGAAGAAAGCTCATTCATTCCTTGACAAAACAAGCACGGTACTGCTGGAGATGTGGCAAGTGTGCCTCCTGCTTTCCTCTAGGGTTGCCAGGTGTCCGGTTTTGAACAGGACAGTCCAGTATTTGAGCTTTCTGTTCAGGAAACATATTGAGACAATATAAATGAGAAAATATAAATGTCCGGTATTTTCTAAATAATGTAGATTGTGATGTAATGTCGAGTGTGTCCGGTATTTTTGTTGAAATCATCTGGCAACCCTACTTTCCTCTCTTCACCCATTTTCCTTTGCTGCTTCCCCAATCCCTCCCTCTGCCTCTCCATCATCTACTCTCCTTTCCCCCCATCAGACCCCCATCCACGCCCCTGTGAATTGAAGCAGCTTGTCCTCTCCTGCCTGCACAGTGTCAAAAGGCAGCTGGCACCTCGAGGCTGCTGCTGGCCACTGACTTAACCCAGCTACTTCCTGACCCCCAGCTGCAGCACAAGCAGGAAGAAGTTAAGCCCTAAGGATGCCTTGTGCACCAGGGCCCAGGTGACTGCAGGGGCTTCTGTGAACTCAGCCAGAAGGTGGCTCCGCAGGGGAAGATGGCCTAGGGGATGGAGCAGCCCCATGCTCCCTGGGGGCAGGACCCAGGGTGGGGGATAGTGAGAGAGAAGAGGGTGCTAAGCCCATGCCTAAGGGGCTGCTGTGGAGCCTGCAGGGTCAGGGCATGAACAGGCTGGAAATGGCTCCCTCCTCCCACCACTTAGCCTCAGGGACTGGCATGAGCAGGCCTCAACCCCTGCCCAGTGCAGCAGGAGCACCTGGGGAGAGCAGTGCTGGGCAGGCTCAGGGAAGCTGAGAAGAGTCTCCAGCCTGTTACCTCCCTGGTTGTGGCTTGATACAAGAGCCAAGCAAGAGCAAGGCTCACGGGGAAGTGGCCCAGGGGACAGGAACAGTTAAGGAGAGTGGAGTAGGGCAGACATAGCTGCTGCTAGAGGTCCCTGGGTCAAGACCCAGAGTCAGGGCTGTCCCAAGCGGGGTACCTGGGACAGCCTGGCCCCCCACCCACTGCACCAGGTGTGGGGCTAGGCCAGCCCTCCCCCACAACAGGCCTCATCGCTGAGCCACACAGCCTGGGGTATAATGGGAGCCTGGTGCAGCAGCAGCAGGGGTCCCCCCGCACCACCATGCATGTGATGGGAGCTGGAGTGGTCCAGCAGCCTGCCCCGCTGAGCCATCCTCCTGGCCTGTGGTGCCTCACTTCTCCGCAGCCGTGGGAAGCGGAGTGCCCTGAGGCCAGGACTCGCCACTTCCTGCCACTGCTGAGGGCCAGGAGAGGGCAGCAGGGTGGGGTGGAATGGAGCAGGCTGCTGGGCTGCTCCAGCTCCTTCTGCTTCAGTGAGTACAGAGGGGTGACCCTTGCTATCGCCACACCAGGCCCCTTGCCCCAGCTAATCCTGCAGGTCCTGTCCATAGGACAGTTGGTGAGGCCACTGCAGGGCCCCCAGAAGTGCATGGCCTGGGAAGGCTGCCTATAACTGTCCTATGTAGGGAACCGCTTTGCTCAGAGTAGTGGGCAGGACTGGGTCTCCCTGCCCCCTCCCTTCCAGCCACTAGGGTTGCCAGATGGTTTAATCAAAAATACCGAACACTCCCTCCCCCCCCCAAAAAAAAGACCCTGACAGACAGCAGTTATTAGGCAAAAAAAATTTTTTTGTAATTAAAAAATCATCATGGCTCCTTTAAGAGGCTTTTTTTTGCTGGTGGCCATTTTGTTTTTCTGTTCCAGCTACAAGATAAGCCCCTGCTGAATCAGGTAAGAAGGGCTGGAGAGGCTTCTGGGGGGGCTTCTGGGGGCTGGGCCCAGTTGCTGAGTGTGTCGTAGGGTTGCCAGGTGTCTGGTATTTTCATCTCAAAGCAGGAGGGAAAAAAAACAGAAAATACCAGACATTTTAGGAGTCCGGTATTTTCAGGATTTTTTTTTACTGGATAGAGGTGAAAATACCGGACTGTCCGGGTCAATACCAGACACCTGGCAACCCTACTAGCCACACTGAAGCATGGCCTACACAGACTGAGGCCAGGGGCTAGACTTCGGGGCTGCAGTTGGCCACTCAAGCCAGTGTAAGGACTGAGAACTCCTGATACACCCCAGAAGGGGGAGAACAGAATGGTGAGCACAGTTGGAACACTGTCCTGAAGAGGACCCCACAGTCCAGGAAGTGATGCAGATCCAGACATGGAGACAGCAGAGATGGGCAAGACATCGGTCAGAAGAAGCTGAGCAACAGAGCTAGTTCCCAGAGTTTTTTGATTTGAGGAAGTGGGTCTGGCCCACGAAAGCTCATCATCTAATAAACCATCTTGTTAGTCTTTAAAGTGCTACATTGTCCTGCATTTTGCTTCAGCTACCTCAGACTAACACGGCTACATTTCTATCACTAGTTCCCAGAGTGACCATCAAGAGGCGCCATACCAGTGAGTAGAATTCCACTACAATAAGCTATTATGAAGGGCTGAGCTACTCCACCATGTAAGTACCTAGATAAAACCAGCACTTGCAAACTAATATTTTTCCAAGTGAGATGTCTCCAGATCAAAGTCCTGCTTGGTGCCCCTTGCTGATTGCACAAAGCAGCCAGAAGAAATCAATGCCTGAAGCATTACAATAAAGAAATGGTCAGACTGGCAGAATTCATGGGCCGATTAGTTTGTCATCAACACTGAATGGGGGAAAAGGAATTTCCATGGACCTGAAGTGTAACCTTTGATTGCATATTTTCAAGTTAGCAGCTTGTTCCTTTTGTATAGCACCATCTTAGCCAAGATACCACGGTGTGGCAGATTAAAAAAAAAAAACCAAAGATGAGTACATTTCTGGCACCACCATGGAGGACAGCATCATGGTGGGGGAGAGGGAAGAGGAGGAGGAGGTAGCATTGATCCCTTCCATACAACTACACAGACAAAAGGCAGCTTGGAGCGTGCTGTTCCCCACAAAGCTTTTCCACAGAGAAATGTGTTACAATAGGGAAGTGTTATCATTGGGCTTGACTTCTAGAGATGCTGAGTTTCCATAGACTTTGCTTGGGTTTGTGAGGGCATAAAACTTCCAAAGCGAGGCATTTGTTATTTCTAAGTGCCTCTCTGCTCAGTGTGCAGTAGCTTCCTAAGTGCCTAAAATGGATGTTTTGTGTATGTCCCAATGTGATCCCGTGTTGTGAGATGTAAAATCTTTGTGACTCCTCTCCTGAACATAAACTGATCTCCACCCATCTCAGGTGCAGTTAGCACCATACAAAGTGGAAGATTCTCTAGATTGGCTAAGCAGCTGGCTCTGCAGCTGAGAACTCTGTCATCCATAGCCAGGCGTGGGGCTATTAGTCATTTCTGATTACCTTAGCAGGGTTGAACTTGCTGGTCAACCCTGAGAGCACTTTTCTGAAGATCTCCACAGCTGCCTATTGACTCTGAGTCAGCGAATCACCATCTGTCACTGACTCCTGTGTCAGAAATGGATTACACAGCGAATGCATCCAACTCAGATATTGCATAATCTTTGCCTCATTCCATTTTCCACTTGAGGGAGGTGTCACCAAGGGGTGGGGAGTCACCGGGCCCTGCACCCCCATCCGTAGCCAGACATGGCTGTCAGCCAGCAGGTAGAACAGAAGGTTTATTGCTTCACAGGGATACAGCATATCACAGACTTGCTAGTACAGGAACTGTCAGTACAATCCATCTTGAGAAGAAGGGGCCCTGACCCTGTTCCTCACTTCTGCTCCAAGCCCCCTCTGAAGGAAAAAAGAAGACTGACACCGTCAGCAACTTGCCCCAGTCTGCCAGCAGCCCCTCCTCCCCCACTTTGTCTAGCTTCCTGGGCAAAAGGTGTCTCGGTCTCACCCCCGCTCAGACTCAGGTTCATTGTGTATGTGATGGGATGCTTTCAGTGAGTCTCAGCAATCCCCATCCCCTTCTGGACAGTAGCTAGAGTTGCCAGGTGTCCAATATTCACCCGGACACTCCGGTATTTTCACCTCCTGTCCGGTAAAAAAAAGTCAGAGAATAGCAGACACCTGAGATGTCCGGTATTTTCTGAATTTTTCCGCAGCCAGGAGGCGAAAATGCCGGGCACCTTCAAACACTCAGCACCCAAGATCCCCAGCCTCCTGACCCCAGCCCCCAAGCTTACATGGTTCCCCAAGGCTGCTGGCACAAAAAGGCTGTCATCCAAAATACTTAGGGGAAGCAATGCTTTCCCCTGGGTCTTAGTACTCAACTGCTCTGCTGTTTCTATCCCTGCACTTAAAGGGGACATGATATTTTTTTTTTAAATTCTTTTTTTTTTGGAAGGGGAGGGGGTTTAAGTCCTTGGAGTCCTTTTTTTTTTTCTTTTTGCTCAACAAGTTCGGTCCCCCTTCCTGGTTTTTTTTTTTTTTTTTTTTTTTTTTTTTTTGAGAGGGGGGTTGGTATTTTTGTTTCAACCATCTGGCAACTCTAGACAATAGAGCAGTGCCCAGGAAAACGGAGACACACAGGACTACTACAGGGAAGTACAAATCACAAACAACATAAAGGAAACAGGGTGAATACAATCCCCTCTTTGTCACAATTTCCAGTTTATTCAGTTCCCAGTTTCCTTTTCTCAGCTATTTGTTGCAGAAAAGTGTAGCATCTTTTGCAGAGTGTTAATTTTTAAAAAGTGTATGTTGAATGTTTTTTGTTTAGGCAGATTTATCCTGTTATCTAGCACACACAAGCCAAGGAGTTATTTCTTGGGGCGGTGAAGGAAATTGTTATATGCAATATGGAAAATAAAAGAGAAAGGAAAGAAGGATAAATCTAGACAGTGACATGAAACCATCTTACACCAGTTAATGGCATAAAGAACTAGAAGTGCCAATAATATTAAAGTTCATAAGAATCAATACATTACAATAAAGATCTGGACAGTTGAACAAATAAAGCTATTAAATCTGCAACACCCACACAGCCGGAGGACATCAGAAAGCTATATGCTCCCAGAAGGGACCTTGCTATTTCCAGAGAGAGAAAGACATTTCTAGATATTAACATGCATAAGCAGCAACAGGTAGATAGATGGTGGTATGTGGCACCCAGGTGACAGTGTCAGCTTAATCCTCTGAAGCTCCAGTACCTCTTTAATTGTCTTGACTTCCTTCAAAGAAGTTTGCAGGTTGATGCATGTCAAATGTATTAACAGTGATGGATCTAAAGCACCTCCTGGCCTTCCTTCTTGTCTCTCACAATGAGTTTAATTACTTTTGCTAGTGTGCAGGGATCTTTCTGCAGTTCTGAGCATACTCTGCATGACAACTAGCACAGAACCTGCTATGTTTTACCGGCTATATACCCACATACCTAAATGGCACTGCTACCGTAATTCATCAGTGCTTCACAATCACTAATTTATCCTCTCTTTCAGGTAGGGAATTAGCATTATGCCTATTTTACAGATGAGAAACAGAAATGCAATGACTGGTCTCAGGTCATGTATCCAGTTTCTGGCAGAGCCAGGAAATGAACCCGTTTCTTTTGTTCCAGACCAGTGCTCTAATCACAAGGCAACCTTCTACCAAGACAGGAAAGGCAAATTTTTCTCCTAGAGCCACTGTGGCAGTAGACAGCTTCAGTATTTACTCTTCCTATACATTCAGGACTCCCATGGAAATCAGCACAAGCAAGGAGTACAGCACTGCAAAGTCAAGCCTTACCATGAGGCTTATCACTTATGGGATGGTAGGCATCCTCATGAGAGCTAGAGGTTCTTTAAGAGAAGTTGCAGCAGAGGAGTAGTTCTATAAGGATAACAGGTTGGTCTCCAATAATACATGCTCAGGAATTCGCAGATTATTCAGCACTCAGGTTAAGCAATGACTTTTCTGACTGCCAGCCCTGTAAACGCCATCTGTGGTCTAAACATCGAAGCCCTGGTGTACGATAGGGAGTTATTTCAAAGTAACGCCCCCTAATTTTGAAATAATAAGCAGGGCGTCCACACTACCAAGCCTGTCATTTTGAAATCTGAACTGCTTTCCTGGGGAAATAAGCTTATTTTGAAATGGTTATTTTGGGAGCTATTATTTCAAATTTAGTTATTTCAAAATAATGTCCTAGTGTAGACATACTCAAACAGAGCTCTGTCTGCCTCTGACACCAGCTTCACCAGGAACAAATTTAATTGAGCATCTTATTGATGTTCAGTTATAGAAGAGAACCCAGCTTCCTTTCCTGTATCAATATTGGTTCTGCAGTGCTAACCATAGCAAAAGAACTCATGTGTTTCAGTAGAGTACACAGGGGTAATTCAGTGACCAAAAACACACAGGGATCAATTCTCTCCCACTCTTTCTGCACCAGTGTAACCGGTTGACTGTGGTGCACTTATTTTTATTAGTGTGAGATTGGAATAAGGCCCACAGGGAAGAAAATACAGTGAGTGCGATGTTAGAGCAACTGGCATGACTGTAATTCCATTGACTTAATGGAGTTACTCCTGATTTGCAAGTGCGAGCGAGATCAGGTAGAGTCAGAAGAGCCATTTTTATACAGTCAGATTTACTCCTGAGAACAAATATTTCTAGGTTCAATGTGCTCATTATTTGACCTATGAAAGGATGGAATTCTCATGCATGTGCTCAGGTAACCTTCCAGTCTCAATGGCAGCTGGTTTGCAGCCACCCCTCTGCTCCGTGCCTGCCCTCTGAGACTGACAAGGGCAATTACAGCTTGAAAGAAACCTTTCGACAATGTGTGGCTTTGGGTATTGAGTTGCCCTCCTGTTCTCTGGTATTTCCCAAGAACAATGCAAGCGGCATGACGGGGCACAGCCCCTTGCAGTGATAATTGCTATACTAAAGAGAAAGATTTTCATCCAAATGGGCTTTTGTTGGAAGTTTCAGGAACCTGAGCCCCGCTACTAATAACCTCTCCAGCTCAAGTTCCAAACAGCCCCATTCTGCTCAATTCAGCGAGCACCTGCCTGGCTGCAGGCTGTGCAAACGAGTAGCATTTTATGAGCTACCCCAGCCACGCTCCATAAGTCAATCACCCAGCATCAAGTTGGAACAAAGCTGCTGCCTCCACACAGCTCCAGCCTTTTTTCTCCCCCAATGAAGAGAGTCTGGTCACTGGACACAGAAACAAACCATTGTCATGCTGGCTAGGACATCAAGCGCCAGGACAGCCTCCTAATCCCTGCACTGCACCAGTAGTAGACAATTACCATGCAGAAGTAAATGGCCTGTCAGCATTGCCACACTGCTAGGAAAATGCAACCACTTGTGAGGACACAAAGACACTATAGTGAAGATGCTCACCCAGGTGGTAGCCCAGCTATGAGCAGAGGCACATACAGGATAATAGCTGTGACAGCAGAGTACTAAGGGACTCCACACACTGCATAGGCTTTCTCTAGAGGCACATCCAATCCAGTCTCAGGCATTACTAGGAGAACTACCCCAGTGGTACCCAAATGTCCCACTCAGGCTTTACCTATTTCCCAACCCCTAGGGGGTATGAGAAGCTTGTCAAGGGGTACAGGGAATATTTGGTAAATAACTAGATTATCCTAATTGAAATATTCCAAAAGTAGTAGTGTTAGTGGAAAAAGTTGTGGATTCTAGAATTTATTTCCTTTCACATTGAATAGGGGGTACGGGAAGGTTTACTAAAAGCCAAGGGGCTATGGGGACCAAAAAAAGTTGGGAACCCCTGGCCTAACCCATACAGAACTTTACCATGGGCTGTCTGCTGTTATTGAAGGGGTCTAAAGAAACCCAGGCTCCAGTAGAAAGCCATTCTACAGTTGGGAACAAGCAGGTACTGCTCCTAACTCTTCTGATGGGAGCTTTACTTTGCTGTCAAGTTACAGACCAGTTAGTTCCTTTGACCCCAGTCCTGAGGTTCACTACTTGATGCTGTGCAGCTCCCTTATGGACAAATCTTGGGAGTAGCCCTTGACCAATCTGATGCCTCCTCCTTCAGTAGCTGGCTCTGTCTCTCTCCCTCTCTGGGTCCAATTGCTCCCTCTCCATGGCTTGGCCCTTGGATAGGCCACTATAATGTTCCCCTTACAGGGCCCAAAAGTTCCCTGGATGATCTGTCTCAGGCCAGGCCATTTCCCCAGTGGCTGGCAGGAGAACTTTACTCTGCGTTCCAGCACAGACACCCTATGCTTAGCAACCATGGTCTTGCCAATCTCAGACCTATTGCTGTTCCCCTAGGCACTTTCTTTCTCTGTCCACTGGTGCCTCCTCTAGCTACTCCACCCTTGCTCAAGTTCTTGCCAGTTTCTATAGACTGAGGCAGGATCACAGGGTTTACTCTTCTCCTAAACCTTCTTCTTGTCCCCTCCTTTCTAGACAGGGTCTGAGAGTTTCCTTCTGTAGCTCCTCCTATGACCAGCTTCCTCTCCATATATCTGGCCCTGCTCATCCCCCAGCTGGGCATCATCAGCCATTAGGCCTTGACTCCCCTCCAGATGCAGCCTGTCACAGGGCTAATTGGCCCCTTTTTAATCTGCTCAGGCCTTATCATGTTGGATGGGTTCTCTGTTATGGTCTGACAGTCTGAGAGTTTCCTTCTGTAGCTCCTCCTATGACCAGCTTCCTCTCCATATATCTGGCCCTGCTCATCCCCCAGCTGGGCATCATCAGCCATTAGGCCTTGACTCCCCTCCAGATGCAGCCTGTCACAGGGCTAATTGGCCCCTTTTTAATCTGCTCAGGCCTTATCATGTTGGATGGGTTCTCTGTTATGGTCTGACA